GATGAACTGAAAAACAGCGCAGATCGCTTGGCGGAGAGTGAAACTCTGAAGCGCTCAGTCAGAGTGTTCGGCGAGTGAAAATGTATCCGAGCTAAACTTATACTTAGCCTCCAACTCACACACTGGCGAGTAAAATCTGAGAATTTATTAGCAATTGGCTAATATTAGACATAATTTAGTCGCCCAGAGTGAAGGTTTAGTCGCATATGCGAGTGATTTACTCGCAATGTTGAGGGTTGTAAGCATATAAGCAATATAAAAGAGTATACACTAACCCTTATATTTTTCTCACGCTCTAATTATTCTACTCTTTATTCATTTTACCACACCATTCCAGGCACATACTGCACATATAAATATAAAGGCTTTTTAGGGTGCTTTCACACCTGTAGATCGATTGCTTTGTTCCGAAACAGGGATTAAAATTATTACAATGTTGCTTTTTATTCTTGGTGCGGTTCCCTTTCACACGGCAAAGTTTCTAAACGGACCAAAATTGTTAATACAAGTCACATGCGAGTAAACTGTCCTCTCATTGGTCAAAGTTCCACAGTTTATTTTCCAGAATTCCGCTCATAGCTGTCATCCGTCAAAATGGAACGACAACAGCTTCGAGGGCTTATTGTTGTTGTTGGTTTTTTTGTAGCTGTCATTATATTAATTTATCATTTTGAACAGGAGTCCAGGATTCGTCGGGAAAACATTTTTAAAATGCACCTAACAGTTACTACGATAAAGAGCAATAAGACAGCATTATAAAATGAAAAGACGCGCTTTGATTTTGAATGGCGAAGACGTGCTCACCCACAGATATCGCCTGCGTCTCAATGTGCATACTATCCATCCTAAATTCTATGTGATATTATTCATTTTCAATACTATTTATGGCAGATAGGGTGGATAGTATGCACATTGGGACGCCGGGACCATCTACTGCTTTTCACGGAACTTACGTAATTACCTATCATACATTGGATGTAGCCTGGTTCGTTGGTCCGTTGGATCGGATTGCTTTCTCACTACAACCGAACCGCTCCAGAGTTCGTTTTCAATCGAGCCGAGACCACCTCGTTCGGGCAATCTCGGACCGATTGTTTTGGCGCGGGTCCGAGTGCGATTGCCGTGTTCACATATGCCCAAACAAACCGAGCTAAGAGGGGAAACGCGCCAGGTTCCGAAACAACGGGCCAGGTGTGAAAGCACCCTTAAATTTTTGGATGGATGGAATGATAAAATGGGTTAAAGAGGGGATTGAATGATAATTACGCCAGCAATCAATGTAATTTACGTTTTTTTATATCTTTTTTTTCTAATTGTGTTTTAATTTTGCTATGAAAATTTCATACATTTTGAAATTGGTGTTGAATTAAACTTTATAACTTTTTAAGGAAAATATTGAGAAGCGTCACAGAAAAATTATGTATTTATATTTAATTTAGGCTTGCATCTTATTGTGCAATAATGTTTCATTTTCAAATTTACAAATTCTGTTAAACACCTTAATATTTTTGCATAAAAGTTTTTAAATGCATGTTGAACAAGAATTCAACCTTTGTTTACCGCACTTGATGAAACCTCCATAATTTAGCTCTTTTCGAGCTGAAATGTTTTTGTGCCTCTAATGTCACCAAATGGATTTGTAATAATAAATAATGGTCATTTTCATGCAGGTTTCCTAAACACTCTGCCCATCTGCTTTTGGTTGTACAAACAGATAGTCTGATAGTGTTTCTGTCTCGGCATGGTTGTCAAACTCAAACAAACAGAACAATATTTTGACAGCATCGCAGAGCCATAGTACTTACAATATAAGCTACAACTGGCATTGTCGACTCTACATATTAAACTGGGATAAGAGAAAGTATTATAACACTGACAAATGACACACTTCAGCTTTAATGATCAGGCAAAACCCTCCCTCTCAATTCAATTTTCATCAGAAAACAGAAGAAGAATAGAGTTTGATGGTTCCATTCAACCTGTTGCAAACAGATGCTTTTGGGACAGCACTCGCATCCTATAATGGCTGTTAAACAATCTGACTCACATCTGAGCAGTTGATATGAATAGCTTGAATAAAATGCCAGACGTGGATTTGATATAGCCTCTCTGTTCCTTCAAAAGGGCAAACCTGGGCCATCCGCACTGCTATGAATCCAGGAAACACAATCGCCTGGAAATGGGGCTTGAATGCGTGCAGCTAAATCACAGTCTACATACGGCGTGCAGCTTTATTAGCATGCGGCAAAAAGAAAGTGAGGCTCTATTGGCACGTGCTACCTGTTTGTTTGCATGTGTGTGTGCAGTTTACGAGGCCGAGGATGGTCCACGTGTGCCTCGTGAGCTGCAAGATAGCACATCCTCGACAGGAGCTGTCAATAGCCATTCAGTGAAAGAAACTGCCTTCATCTGCTCTTTAAATTACAGAGCGCATCTCTCACGGGGGTTCGGCGCACGCTGACCCCACTCTTGTTGGGAGAAACAATGCAACAATGACTGCAATCAGCTATTCCCTCCAGCATCTGTGTTAGTCCCTCAGACTATGAAACGCTCCTCTATCACTCCTGCACCGGCGCTAATAGCTCAGTGCGCCAATGACTCCAAACTTAGACAGAGATTATTTAATGCCTCTGTTTGTCTCGCTTGACCTCTGCAGAGAAGCAGTGGTTTTTCTCAATTTTCCGTAGGTGACCTCTTTGTTAAAGGATTTGGAGGGCAGCTAGTTGCTTTGTTTGTCCATGTTTATCAATCACTGTACAAGCTCATGTGTTTTAACGTAGCTACCGCAATGCACCGTTTGTCCTTCCTTAACCGTATCCTTCTCACGGCTTCTCCAAGCATTCGCGAGAGCAGTACGAGAAGCTCTCCACCATGCACAAGAACATGCAGAAGCTGTACGAGAGCCTAGGGAGCTACTTCGCCTTCGACCCCCACACCGTCAGCATCGAGGACTTCTTCGGAGACCTGGCTAACTTCCGCAACCTCTTCATGGTGAGTACGGCAGCACTGTCACCTGTTTATCCTCAGAAGAGTGCTTTTTTCTTATGCTCTTTGCACTCCTCAAGGTTGAAGAGAGTCGGATATTTTCTGTTCTTTCTCTAATGTGTATAAATCTG